ACATACTTCTGTGTGATTGCTGCTCCTACTTAGGGGATGCCAGTCTGCAGGGCAGCCTGCCCTAGCAAGTTCCCACGTTTCTTCTAAGTGGGTCCTGCCCTGTGGGTCAGGTTTTGGGAGCAGGGCAAATTCCGAGTCCCCTCCATACCTGCGGAGAGATTCATGTGCAGCTCTAGGGCTCAGTATTTCCCCTCATTGTCCATTCTTCATCCCTAACATCGGGCATAGGAAGGCCCCTCCGGCCCCTGCTGCGGAGTCAGGAATCCAAGGGTCTCACGGAGCAGTTGACAGCCGGATAGAGCGAAGCAGGCCAATGCTTACTAGCTCCACCGCCATCCTGCGCGCACCCACCCTCGAGTGGGATTCTGGCCTCAGACTCAGCCAGGGCCGGGGCGGGGCCGGCTGGGAAGTCCCGCCCCCAGCCCGCCCCCGGCCCGGGGTGCGAATCCGTTGCCGGAGAGCGGCTGGCGATGCTGGAGGTTCGCTAGCCGAAGCGGCTGCATCTGGCGCCGCGTCTGCCCCGCGTGCCCGGAGCGAATTCTGCCCGCCGTCCCCGGAGCCCTCGGCACCCCGCTGAGCCCGCGATCACTTCCTCCCTGTGACCAACAGGCGCTGCAGGTGCGGGGCGGGTCGGGCTCGGGGGGTGCCTCCCGAACGCACGCTGGGGGGCCTTAGGGGATTGTTTCCTTGGCGTGAGGTTCGGGGTGCAGAGTGCGCGGGGGCGCTGCGAGGGCTAGAGGTCCTGGCGGGGGCAGACCGCGCGGGCTCTGCAGATCTGGGGTATGGCGTGCGGGGTCGGGCTAAAGTTCCCCATTACCTCGGACGGCTTGGGGGTCCCAAGGAGAAGCCTCTGCAGCTCCGAATTGTGAAAACATTAACCCTCGAAGATTCGTGGTCCCCCGTGAAGGTAGGGGCCGAGGGCTGAGCCGTCCCTCTGTGTTCCCAGAGCCGCCTCCAGCCCCTCCCAACTGCCCCCGGGCCCCCTCCCTCCGGTTTAGCAGTCACTAATTTCCATGACAACGGAGAGTTCTTTATGGGCGACAACCTGGAGGGGGCTGGGCGGGGCTGCCGCGAGATGGGGGAGGAGGCTCCTAGCCCCCGAGGACCAGCAGCCCCCCCAGCCAAAATCCAGCTTCCTAGCCTTCACGTGGGGGGGCCAACCAGGGGTCCAGAGCACGGACCCACGTGCACGGTGGGGGTAGGGGCTCACACGTTCCTGCTGGGAGATGCGGGGCTTGGTGCTCACACGTGTGCCTCCCGCATGTGTGTTGCTGTGCCAGCGGGGGCGAGCCAGCAGCACTGAGGAAGGGGGTCAGGGTGACACCACAGTGGGGAGCAGGGCCTCTGGCTGGGGGTGGGGGAGATAGTGACAGCGCGATCTTCTGCCTTCCCCAGCTTGTATTGTCTGACAGAGACCCTGAGCTCTTGAAACCCAGCCCCCCAATAGCTCTGCCAAACTGCTTTTGTCCGCACCCCCCAGGCAGAGACTGCTCCACCTGCTTCCTTCCTTCCTAGGGATCAAGGCCCTCTTTCCCCCACCAAAAGCTCAGAGTCTGCAGTAGTCCAGCCTCTGTTCTGTCCCTCCCTGACCCCCAGGCCCAGGCTTTGAGCCTCCAGAACTACCCTCAGAGACCTGGTACCCTCCCCCAACCCTCAAGAGTTGATTCCTGCCAGCTCAAGTGACTTCTCAGCCTCAGTTTCCTCAACTGGGAAATTGGTGTCGCTACTCCCATCAGAGTCAGGCTGGTCCCCAGGGTGGGGCAGGGGTCTTCTTTTATTTTAAATTTGGTGTGGACCCCCAGGTGCCCTAGGCTGGCTGTACATATATCTTCTGATGGTGCTTCTCTTCAGCCCCATGCCCTGGCCACCACTCACAGGCAGGCAAACCGTTCTCCACCCTGGGAGAAGACCACAGAGTTCATGATCTCTATTCAGAGAAACAGAGGCATAGGGAGGAGAGATGCTGTACAGTTGTTATCCTGTTTCTGGGTTGCTTGTGGTGCTGTTTCTGTTCCTCCTGACACAATCTGCTGTGGGGGTGGTGGTGACAGGGGATTAAGCTGTGCTACAAGAGGGACCTTGGGGACCCAAGGCCTAGAGAGGACAGCAGATGAAGGAAGGGGGTGAGGGTGGCTTGGGATTCTAGGTACAGCTGGATCAGCTGAGAGGAGGGACTATAAAGGGAAGTAGCCAGGTCCCAGAGCCTCATTCCCCCCCCTTTCTGTCTTCCAACAGAAGCCTTACCTAAGGCTCTGTTGGATCTGTCTTACCTAAGCTGCCATGATGAGAGAGTGAGGGGCTGGGAAACTGTCCTGTCTGGGGGGCTGCAGTAGCTGGCTTCTTCCCTGCCAAGAAGCTGGCCTCTTTTTGGCTGTGCCTCCCACGCCAGGTTCAGTGTATGTCTGGGGGATACAGGACGGTGCAGTCTCAAAGGTCCAGGTACCATGGGTAGCTCCGGGCCTAGAGCACATGGCCATGGAGGCCTTAGGGCTCTGTTGGGCATCCATAGGTCCCTTCAGAACTCCTACCCGCCTCCCTTTTTCTCCCCTTTGTGCCTGTGTCCCTTTTACTTTGTTGCCTCCTTGCTCCTTTTCCATCACAGGTTCTGTATTTGTCTTTCTGTGTCTCTGCCCTTCTCTCTTTTTTCGTTTTTCTTTTTTATTGAGACAGGGTCTCTGTTGCCCAGCTGAGAGTGCAGTGGCATCATCATAGCTCACTGCAACTTCAAATTCCTGAGCTCAAGCTCTCCTGCCTCAACCTTCCAAAGTGCTAGGATTTACAGGCATGAGCCACCTTTCCCAGCCCTATCTCTTTTTTCTAAAGTCTCAGTACCCTCCCTCTTCTTCCTTGATGGGGACCAGGGTCACAGAGCCTTGGGAAAGGAACCAGGTCAAAGTCTCAGGGAATTCTGAAAGAAGGGACCTGAGCAACACCTCTTCCCTCCCCCTCACCTTGTTTAAAACTTTCATTACCATAGCAACCCTTTACTCTAATGCCTTTCTCTGCATTTCCCCTCCTCCACCCACGGGGAAGCAGGGCCTCCAGTGGATTCTCCTTCAGGAATTCAAAGACTGGGAGCCTAGGTGCCTTGGAGGGGCCAGTTGACTCTTGGCTCTACCTGCATGTTGAGGGCTGAAATTTCTGGATGTAGCACTGTACTGATGCTACTCCAAGACTGGAGAGACCCTTCCTCATTCTCTCTCATTAGATGGAAAGAAAGTCAGCCCCAGGAACTACTGACCCTGGTTTAGCTGGAGCCTGAGGCTTCTGACCAATTCCCTGAAGCAGTTATATGATGATCTAGAACCTTGGCTCTGTCTCCTGAATGAGGTCTCCACCTCCCCTAGTCCTGTGAGTGAGGCCTCAGCTGTGAGTTAGGCACGGCATGGTTCTGGGCATGTCCATTGCAGCAGAAAACTCACCCCTAGTCCCTGAGAGAGGAAAGCAGGGGAAAGGAGGGTGTGCCAGCAGGCTAGTGTTCACGGCTGCCACTAAATAAGGAGGTGTTGCCTACAATCATTGGGAGGCAGCTGGAGCCCTCTTGGGCCCCTGGCAATCTCCCTAGATTTACTGCAAGCCCTAGGGCCCCACATGGCAGGAGACTAGGGCAGTAGGAAACTCCTGTTTGTACCTGTGAAAGGTGGGGCCTGAACCAGGCTGACCCTGGTGGAGGAGTGGACAGGACCCCAATGTGGGGCCTCTGGACCCCTTGGCTTCTGTTCCTGATCCGTTTGGGCTTTCCCTGAGCCAGATTGCCTAAAGATAGAGTAGAGCCCCTAGGGAACCTTTTATTACCAGGGTACCAACAGACAGAGTCTCCTTTAGGGTTGCCTGAGGCTCGATTCCCTGAGCCCAGTAGTCAGGCCCCAGGACCAGGTAGTAACTGGGGAGTACTTGACCCTCAGGCTTCCTGAGAGCCAGCAGGAAGGCAGTGACAGCACCAGGCTCTGCACTTCCTCCAAGTTCCCTTTGGGCAGCCCCCAGAGCACACTGTTCGGTTCCTATGCAGAGAATGGAGGGAGCCATGTTTAGAGAGCTACTGTGGGCTCTTGTGTCCTCCCATGGCCCACATGGATCTGAGGTAGAGCCCATGTCCTGTTGCTGGGAGGCGAGTTCTCCACTGGTGGGTGTTAGGTTTGGGCCAGGGGGTCAGAAATGCAGACCCTGTACAGCCTGGCCTCCCCCTATTCTGAGAGCTATCCCTTGGCTGCTTCCAGTTTTGGGGCCAGGGTCCCCTTTGTTGCAGGCAGGTGCCAGAGGCTTGGTGCACACACTCATAGCCTCCCAGAGAGCAACAGGGTAGCAGATGGTGGAGTGGGTGGGGGTAGAGGGGACCAAGGTGCTAAGTGGAAACAGGGCCCCCTTTTGTTGTCCCTTCACCCTCAGGCCAGGTCTGGGGGTCTAAGAGAGTACAGTTAGACTGGTGAGGAGGAGGAGTAATGATTGTCTGAGATCTGGGCAGCCATGGTAGGCGGCAGGGGAGACAGATCTGTTCCTGTTCCAGGTTTGAGGCCTGCAGCACATGGCTCCAGGCTGAAGTTACTGTGAACAGAGGCCCAGCTTTCTGTGGTGGAGTCAGACCCTAAGACCAGACCCCGGCCCCCGTAGGCATGAATACATATGCATAGTAGAAAGCTGGGGCCAGGATCAGGGCCAGGCATACATGAAACCTGCCACCCACGCCATGCTGGCTGAGCCAGGAGCTTTTGGAGTAGGCTTAGGGGTAGAGGTTGTGGAAGGTGTCTCAGAAAAGGGCCATTTTGAGTCTGGCCTTGGAGCATCAGGATTGTTTTAGACAATTTGCTGCATAACCTTATAATGTCAGAAATCACTATGAAAGAAGAGATTCAGCTATGGTCTCAGCACCTTGCTCACATGGAGGCTGCTCCACAGGGAATCCAAGGTAGGTAGTGCTCTGGCAGTGCCCACACTTCCTACCATTGAGTGGACACAGTCGAGCTGGTGAGTCACCTGTTGTTGGACATTTAGATAGTTGCTGATTTTTTTTTTTAACATAACATCAAGATTTTATTGTCTTCATAATAAATAAAAGACGGTTAGAACTGGATCACTTGGCCCTTTCTCTTCTTATCTCCTCCCAGTTCAAAATGCTTGCATCTCTTAATAGCCAGCATTCTCTTAGATCTGCAGTTGGGCTCGACACACTCAAGCCTCAGCACAATTTTCTTTGTAGTTTTAGCCTTTTTCCAGAAAATCGGCTTAGTCTGCCCACCATAGCCACTCTGCTTCCCATCATAGCGCCGCCTTCCCTGGGCATACAGAGAATCCTTGCCCTTCTTGTACTGTGTCACTTTGTGGGGTTGGTGCTTTCCACATTTCTTACAGAAAGTCTGGCGGGTTTTAGGAATGTTCACCATGTTTGCGTGCGCGCTATCGGCAATGAAAGCAGTTGCTGAATTTTTTTAATGTTATAAATAACCCTGCAGTAACAGATAATATTCCGACAGGAGGCTTTAGGGGAAGGGCGTTCCTGCCAGAGGGAAAGCAAAGCAACAGAGCTGGGACACAGGTCCCTCCCAACCCTCCTGGGAAACCAGCTGGTTGAGGTACTATCCTCCTGCTGAGTACATGGCCCTCAGCCTCCAGCCTGGGAGTGGGTGGCTGCCCATTGACTTCTATGACAGAACTGATGCTGGCCCCTTCCCCAGATGTTGTGGTGTGGAGATGTGTGGCTGGCAATGGTGGGTGGCTGTGCCTCTGCTCTCAGCTGCGAGAATGGGATTCCAGCAACATGCTCCTCCCCAGCGGATGCAGGAACAGAGCTGTGACCATGGTGGCAAAGACATGCAGTCAGAGGTGATCTTCAAAGCCCCTGTTTGCCTCTGGATGCCTCACAAGATGCCTTAAGCCCTGGCTTCAATAATGCTGATGAAATGCATTTGTATTCCCTGAGCCTAAGCAACTCAGATGAAAGAATAATGGAATTTGCTTCCTAATGCTGAGGGCAGATTTGAAAGAGAACTTCCAAGGCTGTGACTCTTGGGAAGTGGGTGGCTGACCTCTGCCTGAGAGAAAGCAAGTAGTAGCCAGGGTTGGCCATGAGACTTGTCTGGATCCTGGTCTTTGATTCCAGCTGGCAGAGTCCCTCTTGCTAAGCTGCCTCCTCTGGGTATACCTTCCTCCCTTCTCCACTACCCTGAGGCTGTGAGTGCCTTCAGATAGGGGAGCATCTAGGTACCCAAGGCCCTAGCTTAGGTCCTGCATATATGAAGTACTAATTGGTGTGGAGGGAGAGCATGCACAGTCAGTAGAGGCAGAGAAATTCAGTGCAGCCTCAGTGCAGAGTTTGCTGTAGCCCAAGTGTCACACTAGGAATTATAGAGGTAGACTCTAGGGTCAGGTCTGTGAAGGTCTAAAGGCAGTTGCCAACCCCCACCTCTGAGCAAGGGCGGTCAGTGCCTTTTTCTTTGGATGCTAGACCAGCCCACCCAGCGCTGCAGGTGAGGATTGGGCTGTAATTGGCAGGGTTGCACACCCATGAGATACTGTGTCCCAGGTGCAAAATGTACCCGGAATACACTGAACTAGTTGTATCTGGTTGGGGGCCTCATACTCGGACCTGACAGCCCAGGTGCCCTGTGGCCCCCAGCAGTGAAGCACCAGGCAGACTTGTCTTCATCTTCCTGACCATTACCCCTGCATGCCTCCTGGCAAACCCTTCCTCTCCAAGGCCCAGTACTAATGCTACCTCTTCTTCAAAACTTTTTTTTACCTATCCACCCAGATGGTGATTCTCCCTCTGAAGAATACCCCAAGCACTGTGTCTGAATGCGTTATTTACCAAATCCACCAAAGCAATCAGAATACAAATTCTAACAGAAAATTAATAAACAAAGGTTTAAATCTGTCCTTATGACACACAAGTCTTTGCTCCAAAGAGAACTCTTATTTCCTTCATTGTCCTTTCAGAAAAGAGTTGTGAGTACACACCAGTATATAAACTTTAAAAAATTTACCCAGGTTGGGCATGGTGACTCATACCTATAGTCAGAGACCAGCTTGGGCAACATAGCAAGAACCCATCTCTAAAAAATTTAAAAAACAATAAGCTGGGCACAGTGGCATATGCCTGTAGTCCCAGCTACTGGAGGCTGAGGTAGGAAGATTGTTTGAGTCCAGGAGCTTGAGGCTGCAGTGAGCTATGATTGTGCCACAGCACTTCGGCCTAAACGACAAAGCGAGACCTGCTCTCTCTTTCTTTTTTCTTTTTTTTTTTTTTTGAGACAGAGTCTCACTCTTTTGCCTGGGTTAGAGTGCTGTGCTATCATCATAGCTCACAGCAACCTCAAACTTGGGCTCAAGCAATCCTTCTGCCTCAGCCTCCCGAGTAGCTGGGACTACAGGCATGCGCCACCATGCCTGGCTAATTTTTCCTATATATTTTTAGTTGTCCAGCTCATTTCTTTCTATTTTTAGTAGAGGCAGGGTCTCACTTTTGCTCAGGCGGGTCTTCAACTTCTGACTTCAAGCAATCCTCTTGCCTTGGCCTCCCAGAGTGCTAGGATTATGGGCGTGAGCCACTCTGCCTGGCCAAGACTGTCTCTTAAGAAGAGTACCCAAACAGCAGCACCCTCTCCCCACCATTCTGTCTCTTTCTTTTTTATTTAACAATTGTCCTACAGCAGCATACTTTAATCTTTTTAATAGGTACCATGTATTCTTTAGTATGGATGACGCTAATTTTTATTAACATTTTGTATTGTGAAGTATAACAAAAATCTGGGAATGTGCCCCAAATTTGTACTGTACATTTTTATAAATTATTATAAAGCAAACATCTGTGTAACTACCACTCAGGTTCAGAAAAGGCCTTCTAGAATCCCCCCATGTGTCCTTCATGACTCAATCACAACCCCACCTTTTCTCTTAGAAGGAGCCAGTACCCATCTCCTGGTGCTTATTTCCTAGCTTTTCTTTATGGTTCTAGTGCTGTGTTTGTAACCCTAACCAGTATGGGTTGTTCTGCCTGTTTGAACTCTACATCAGTAGACTCATACTATATGTATTCTTTTGTGTTTTTTTCACTTAACACTGTAAGATTCACTGTGTGGTTGGGTATAGCTGTAGCTCCTTCGTTTCCATTGCTGTATGATATTCCATTGTGTGACTCTACCATAATACATCCTGCTGGTGGTAGATATTTGGGCTGTTTCCAGTTTTTGGCAATTATGAATATGCCCACCATGAGCATTCTTGTTTGAGTGTCCTGTTGCACAAGTGTATGCATTTCTGTAGGGCATATATTTAGGAGTGCAATTGCTGGTTCATAGCATATGTTTGACTTTCGTGGCTTTACTAAACTGCTTTCCAAAGGGGTGAGTTGCTCTCTGCCAGCAGCGCTCACGTTCTTCACTTCACGAACACTTGGTAGCTCCAGACCTTTAGAGATAAATATTTGGTGGGTGAGTAGGGCCAGGAGTTCATCTTTGAAATAGCTGGAATTTAAAGAATTTGTTTGATAAGTCTTTTTTTCAGTATATATAATACAAAATTATTCCCTGATATGTCAGTTTAATACATTTTTCATATGTGGGGGCCGTTGTAGTTCAGGTAGCCAAGTTGAGTGGCTAGATGTACAGCCAGAAATGCAGGGGTAGGATCTGAGCCTACCTAACCTCTAGCCCCTCCTGGTGTGGTCTCTGCCCCTGCCTTGGCCTGAGCCAGCTTAGGATGTCCCAAAGGCCGCCCCTGTATTGTGGGGAGAAGTGGAGAGTAGTGCAGCTGAGCCAGACCCCATCCTACCCACAGCTTAGAGCCCGGCAATGCCGTTTGGGTGTGTGACTCTGGGCGACAAGAAGAACTATAATCAGCCATCGGAGGTGACTGACAGATATGATTTGGGACAGGTCATCAAGACGTGAGTGCCGAGCCTGTCAGGCAAGGGTGGGAGGGCTGGTGGGCAAGGGCTGGGGAAGGGGGGTGGAAGGCAGCCTATGCTAAGGCTGGAGCTGAGTGATACCTGTTGGCTGCAGCGAGGAGTTCTGTGAAATCTACCGGGCCAAGGACAAGACGACAGGCAAGCTACATACCTGCAAGAAGTTCCAAAAGCGGGATGGCCGCAAGGTGCGGAAGGCAGCCAAGAATGAGATAGGCATACTCAAAATGTGAGTGTGAGGCCTGGGGTCAGGGTGGGGTAGGAGTAGCAGGGAAGGGCTTAGAGGGCAGGTAGCCTCAGGCAGTACCAGCCTCTGGCCAGGTAATCTCCTGTGGCCACTCTAGCTACCAGAGTCTCGCCCAGGGCTTCACCCAGCCCTGACTGCCCAGTCTTCTCCCTGTTGCCAGGGTGAAGCATCCCAATATCCTGCAACTGGTGGATGTGTTTGTGACCCGCAAGGAGTACTTCATCTTCCTGGAGCTGTGAGTGTGGGTCTGGGGTCCAAGGATTCCCCAGTCCTCCAGGGCCTTCACCTGTCCCACCCTCTGCAGCTAAGGAAAGCCCCCTTTCTGGACCCTTGTGGTCCCAGATCCCTGTGCCTTGCTCAGCCAGCTGCCTGGTGCAGGCAGCCTGCCCAAGTGTTCCTGCCCCACCCCCGATTCTGCCCACGCCGGGCTCAGGGGCTGGTGTCCCTCAGGGCCACGGGGAGGGAGGTGTTTGACTGGATCCTGGACCAGGGGTACTACTCGGAGCGAGACACGAGCAACGTGGTACGGCAGGTCCTGGAGGCCGTGGCCTACTTGCACTCACTCAAGATCGTGCACAGGAACCTCAAGGTAAGGCCAGAGCCAAAGGGTCAATTGGCAGCCGAGCTAAGGCTGGGCTGGGTAGCACCTTGGGGCCTTGGTCCAGCCTCTCAGGCTCTCATGATGTCTCTGCTTACCCACATGCTGTTCCTGGCCGGAGTAGCTGGAGAACCTGGTTTACTACAATCGGTTGAAGAACTCAAAGATCGTCATCAGCGACTTTCACCTGGCTAAGCTAGAGAATGGCCTCATCAAGGAGCCCTGTGGGACCCCTGAGTATCTGGGCAAGCAGGGGTGGGGCAGGGTGGGGGGCAGCCTTCAGGGAGTCTCTCTGGGCAGAGGGAAAAAGTCCCCATCCTGGGAATTGGGTGTGGATGGTTCCACATACTAACCAGCAGACGGACACTGTTTGTAGCCCCAGAGGTGGTAGGCCGGCAGCGGTATGGACGCCCTGTGGACTGCTGGGCCATTGGAGTCATCATGTATATCCTGTGAGTAGATGGGCAGATGAGTAGGCTTGTAGCCAGGTGGGGTGGGGAGCTGTGTCTGTGGCCCTCCTGTGTGACCCTGCCCCCATGCAGGCTTTCAGGCAACCCGCCCTTCTATGAGGAAGTGGAAGAAGATGATTATGAAAACCACGATAAGAATCTCTTCCGCAAGATCCTGGCTGGTGACTATGAGTTTGACTCTCCATACTGGGATGATATTTCACAAGCAGGTAAGGAGGTGCCCAGCATGTGGGTAGGATGCAGGGTGGTGGGGAGGCTGGCACTGCTCTCAGCTCTTTCTGCTGGATTCAGCTCCTGCCCCCAAGCCCATTCATCACCTCTAGACATTGAGATGGGGCAGCCATGCCTAGCTCCTCCCTGGCTTTGTCCCCAGCCAAAGACCTGGTCACAAGGCTGATGGAGGTGGAGCAAGACCAGCGGATTACTGCAGAAGAGGCCATCTCCCATGAATGGTGAATAGGGCCCAGGGGAGGGTGGGAGAGGCAAGGATTCTCTTGATCTCTTTCCCCTTCATACCTAGGAGCCCCCATCCTTAAGGCTTTGAGTGGGTAGGGGCACTCAGAACTCAGGCCAGCCCAGAAGCTCTGCCTGGTAGTCCCCTGGATCCCCTGGGATAGGGCGAGGCAGAGCCTCCACAAAGGCCCATATCCCCCCAATCCAGATGCACTTGCACCCTTTCCAGGATTTCTGGTAATGCTGCTTCTGATAAGAACATCAAGGATGGTGTCTGTGCCCAGATCGAAAAGAATTTTGCCAGGGCTAAGTGGAAGGTAAGATTTGGATAGCTCCTTTCTTGGCCTGATCCCAAAGGTTCTTTTCAACACTTATAGTTTCTTGCCCGCATCACATGCCTGCAGCCATACATGTGCTTTTCTCAGGCCATCAGGTGTGGCTATAGCCACTGTTCTTACCTTAAGCAGGAGTGCTGAGCTGCTGGGTTCTTGGCCTTGCGGTGGTCACAGGCAGCTAGGAGTACCATGGAAGGGGCTGGATTTGGTCATTTCCAAGCAATTGGTCCAGCAAGCCTCACGCTGAGCCTTTCTCCACTGTCCTCCTTTCAGAAGGCTGTCCGAGTGACCACCCTCATGAAACGGCTCCGGGCGCCAGAGCAATCTAGTACGGCTGCAGCCCAGTCTGCTTCAGCCACAGACACTGCCACCCCTGGGGCTGCAGGTGGGGCCGCTGCAGCTGTGAGTGGAGCTGCCCCAGCCACGGAGGGTGATGCTGCTTGTGCTGCAAAGAGTGATAATGTGGCCTCTGAAGACCGTAGTGCCACCCCAGCCACAGATGGCAGTGTCACCCCAGCCACCGATGGCAGTGTCACCCCAGCCACCGATGGGAGTATCACCCCAGCCACTGATGGGAGTGTCACACCAGCCACTGACAGGAGTGCTACTCCAGCCACTGATGGGAGAGCCACACCAGCCACAGAAGAGAGCACTGTGCCCACCACCCAAAGCAGTGCCATACCAGCCACTAAGGCAGCTGCCACCCCTGAGCTGGCTATGGCCCAGCCGGACAGCACAGCCCCAGAGGGTACCACAGGCCAGGCTCCACCCTCTAGTAAAGGGGAAGAGGCTGCTGGTTATGCCCAGGAGTCTCAGAAGGAGAAGACCAGCTGAGTGGGCAGCCTGGTGGGGGGGGTGGGGATGGGCAGGAGGGTGGGAGAATGGATGAGGGGCTTCTCACTGTACATAGAGTCACTGGCATGATACCCTCACTCCCCCATGCCCCCGCATCCCAGTGAGACACACCTGGGGGCCACGGGAGAGCAGTCTCGTCTCCTGTGTATATGTGTGTGAGCGGTGGGCAGGCCAGAAGCAGGGCCAGCCCCAGCCCCTGCATGGATTCCTTGTGACTTTTCTGTCTTTTGCTAGCTTCACCAGTTTCTGTTCTTGTGGGATGCTGCTCTAGGGATACTCAGGGGGCCTCTACTCTCCTTCCCCTTCCTCTTGTCTCACCATTCCCCCGGGCAGGCCCTGCAGGTCCCATAACCTCCCAGGCCCTAAACTTGGGCGGCCTTGCCCTGAGAGCTGGTCCTCCAGCGAGGCCCTGTCAGTGGTCTTAGGCTCCTGCACATGAAGGTGTGTGCCTATAGTGTGTGGGCTGCTCTAGGAGTGTATACAGGCTCGTATAGAGGATGCAGAAATCTCGGGTAGTATGTTTAAGTCAAGACTGGTCACATGGGGGCACTGCTTGCTAGTTGTGGGGGTCCTCAGAAGTGGAAGAGAATGAGTAGGAGGGTAGAAACTTCCATCTTTGTCCCTGGGAAGTCCCTCCTACAACCCTGCTCTCCTGTGTCCTGCAGTGGGCTGCCCTATACCCTGAACCTCATGAGCCTCTAAGGGAAAGGAGGAACAATTAAGATGTGGCAATGAGACCTGGCAGAGCAGAGTACAGGCCCAGTACCCAGAGCCACAACCTAGCTGGGTCCTTACCCTGGGCCAAATAGGAAGGGCTGATAGCCCCTTGCTCTTCCTTAATGCCCACCCCCCAAAGACTCAGCACACAAGAACTTTCTATTACAGGGGCCTGCCGCATGGCAATATCCCCATAGTCTGATTTGGGGGTTTGGTCTTTACAGGGGCAGATTTTCTGCTCTCAGTTCAATAGTGAAATGGAGAGGAATCCCCTCTATTTCTACAGCTTACTTCTACCAGAGGCCCAGGTGCATCTGACCTATGTTGAGTTGCTTTTGCTGGGATGAGGAAGTAGAATAAGACTCCCCAGTTCCCTGAGGGAGGCTCCTGACAGGTGCCCTTTGTCAGACCCTACCATAGCCTGGACAGGCAGCCACACTGGTCCTCGCCCTTGCTCGGCACTCCGTGGTGGTCCTGCTCTTCTCCCTGCATGCCTGTGGGTCTGCTCTGGTGTATGAAGGTTGGTGGGCTAACTGTGTGCCTGCTGAACCTGGTAAATAAACATCACCCTGCAAAGCTTCTGGCCACCCTCTTGCTTTTACTTCCTCTGTCCTACTGTGGAGGAGCCCCTGGAAGGCAGTGGGGAGGGAAATGGCTGGGAGTAGGTTCACAGGTAGTGCTCAGTGCCCTGTAGATTTCATGCGCTGAGAATGTGAGAGTGAAAACCATCTACCACCCAGTGAATTCCTTGATGGTGGTGGTGGTGGTCCTTTGGACTCTAGAAATCCATGTAGGTTTTGTGTCCTGGGCTGGGCTGAGAGCTCAAGTAAGGGCTGCTGGTTTTACTCCTTTTGGTCAAGAAACCTTTGTCCTGACTTGGGCATAGAGCTGGAACCTACCCAGGGCCAACCACCTCAGGGAGAGATCTTGCTCATGGCCAAAGTAGGCTTCCCTGGGCTGGGGAGTGGGTGTAGGGTGGGCATTGCATAAAGGTTCTATGCTGCTCTGTGTTAATTCCTTCTTCCTGTGAACACCTGTGCTTTCCACACAGGCCCAGAGTGAATTCTCATTCTGGGTCTATTTCAGCAGGAGCAGATCAGCTTTGTATTATGGGGCTCCGCCTAAGGTTTCTTCTGGGGAGAGGGAGTAACACTGCTACAAATACTAAGCGGGTAACCCCCCCTAAGGAGACTAAGGTGGGCCTGGGTGAACTCACCAGGGATACTGCTCTTTCTCAGGGAGGACCTCACAGATAACTTCTCTGATATGAGAATAATAAAAAGGGTTTGTTGGTCCCTGGTCTTTGAAGCATTTGAGCCTCCAAAATTCCAACCCCAGTACAGTCCCAGACATAACTGATCTTCATGGAAGATAAGAGCCAAAGTCAGGGTACTGGCCCTAGTGTCTCCAAACTTGAGGATCGTCGTGTCTTAGTTGGATAAAGCAAGGTTGGCCTGGGGTGCCAGGTACCCCAGAGTTGGGACCTACATGTCCATCTTTCCAGAATCACCCAAAGCTGAAGACTGAGAGGGTGGAGTATTCTTTTAGTCTGTGGGAACTATGCTGCCAGTGCATGGTTTTGCACTGTCCAGAGCCCAGGGAGACCCATTGTCCCATTCCCTTTCCACTGCGGTTTTCTTGACTGTCCCGAAGTGCAGAAAAAGAACAGCTGAGAGGCTCAAGTCAGGCCCGACTCGCACCAGCTCTGGGTTGGAAACAACGCTCAGCCTTGCCCTGGAAAAGAGCCCAGGCGGCAGCACCGCAGCTCCCGCCTCGACGCAACAGAGGTGCCAGCCAATTCCAGGAAACGCCTGAGAGCGACTGCGCTCCGCCCTAGGATTCTCTACGGTCGCTGGACCGCTAAGGCCAGCCCCTGGTCCCGCCTCGAGGGTTTGTCCAATCCACAGCAAGCATTCGGGCTCCTCTGCCGGTTTGATGAGGTCATTTCCGGTTCTTTCCCGGAAGTCGAGCAGTGGGGCCAAATTTGAAGCGAGAGTTGGACCTGTCGCAGTTTCCTTGGCTACCTGGGTTCCGGGAGCCCAGCCATCATGCCTATCCGTGCGTTGTGCACTATCTGCTCCGACTTCTTCGACCACTCCCGCGACGTGGCCGCCATCCACTGCGGCCACACTTTCCACCAGCAGTGGTGAGTGAACGCGGTGTCGGTACCCGGCGCTCGCCCCAGTACTACTTCGGGGATGTGGGGTGTTGGGCCTCCAGGCGATCGGTCCCTGGAACCCAGACAGGTGATGAGAACCTCCTTAGACGGAACCTCACGGTGCCGGGAGTTAGCTACTCTCCCAACAAAACGGGTTCTAGGCAGGATCTTCGCAAGAGATTTAGAAATGATAGAGGTAGAGACAAAGTGTAGTTTAAAGTGATGGGGAAAGAACCTAAGACCTGAGAGAAAAAAATAAATAAATAAAGTGATGGGGAAGTCCAGCATTCCAATGAGCCAGGAGGCACTGAGTGAAGTCCTACAGTATTTTTTTTTTTTTTTTTTTTTAGTCCCACAGTATTTATTGGTACAGCAAGCAGTTATTCTTGGTCATGGAATTATGTGTACAGATTATTTGTTTAGGTTTCAAGAAACCGTTACCTAAATCTATCTATGAGAGTAAACAGTTACAAAATTTTTTTTTTTTTTTTTCTAGACTCAGCTGTGTGCTATGTTACAAAATTTTTGTAAGATAAACTTCTTAAGCCCTAAGTTAAGAATAGACTTGGCTGAGTATATAAGTTAAAGATAAAATTGTTAATTAAGCAGTAACACATTAAACAAGAACACTGAGCCTGCATACTTCTCTAATCTATTTCTCTATACAGCGAGACATGTGGCCAGGAGTGAAGCAGGAATAGCCTTGAAGTTTTTGATAGTTCCAGCTGCAGGTTGTCTGCTGAGCTGACATCCCTTGATCAGATCTCTTAACCTTGAGCCCCATGCTGAGCTCTGCCTTGCACAAGCTCCAGGCGTTGGCTTGCAGTTGCCCCTGATCGTCAAAAAGGTTTCCCTTGTTGCTAAGTAGCTGCTAGTCTGTGAACTAATATGCCCACAGAATCCTTCAAGGCAAAGGTCCTGCAAAACTCCTAAAACTTTCCATGTCTCTTAACTCTATTTCCCAACACCAGGGGAGCTTCTTCACCTGGGCAGCATTGGGTTAGGCCAAGCTTTCTGGCAGAGGTGATATCTCAGCTGAGCCCAGGAGACAAGGGGTGGTCCAATGAAAATAGCAAAGATGCTTCCTTGATCATCTATTCAAAAAGATGTGACTAGGCCGGGCCTGGTGGCTCATGCTTGTAATCCTAGCTCTCTGGGAGGCCGAGGCGGGTGGATTGCTCGAGGTCAGGAGTTCCAAACCAGCCTGAGCAAGAGCGAGACCCCGTCTCTACTATAAATAGAAAGAAATTAATTGGCCAACTAACATATATATAGAAAAAGTTAGCCAGGCATGGTGGCGCATGCCTGTAGTCCCAGCTACTCAGGAGCCTGAGGCAGGAGGATCACTTGAGCCTAGGAGTTTGAGGTTGCTGTGAGCTAGGCTGACGCCACAGCACTCACTCTAGCCTGGGCAACAAAGTGAGACTCTGTCTCAAAAAAAAAGATGTGACTTCAAAAAAATAAAAATAAAAAAAAAGATGTGACTTCAAAACTATTAGCCCACTTGGGGTGAGCTTTCACCACATTAACGAGCCCTTTTATTTATTGGAGATAGAAACCTGGTAGGCTTTCGTCTATGGGAGAGTGTTTGTTGTGCTTTGCTTGATGGTTTGGAATGGTTCTATCCAGAATCATCTCATTGGCCCAGACACCCAAGTGTGTTCGCTGTGCCAACAAACCCAGCTTAACATTGAAGGGCAAGGAGGTGCTCGCGCATCCAGGGTTCTTGCTGACAGTGTAGGACCATATTGTTTTGTTTTGTTTTGTTTTGTTTTTGAGACAGAGTCTTGCTTTGTCGCCCAGGCTAGAGTGAGTGCCATGGCGTCAGCCTAGCTCACAGCAACCTCAAACTCCTGGGCTCAAACAATCCTGCTGCCTAAGCCTCCCGAATAGCTGGGACTACAGGCATGCGCCACCATGCCCAGCTAATTTTTTCTATATATATTAGTTGGCCAATTAATTTCTTTCTATTTATAGTAGAGACGGTGTCCACTCTTGCTCAGGCTGGTTTCGAACTCTTGACCTTGAGCAATCCGCCCGCCTCGGCCTCCCAGAGTGCTAGGATTACAGGCATGAGCCACCACACCCGGCAAGGACCATATTGTTGAGTGTACAGTTAGTGAGGAAATATTCCCCTAGCAGCTGTGAACAGGCTGGTTTGGAGCTCCCAGCAAAAAGAGATAAGGCAAAATGACCCATAGTAAGGAGTTGTGGGTGATAATAGTCAGAGGGGGCTTGTGGGGCAAAAGATCCCAGGAAGCAAAGAGCCAGGCACAGCCCTGATAGCTGCTGGGTGCCCCTTACTTGTAAAGCTTTGTTTAGACAGGTGTTGCTGATAGACTGAGCCTCATGCAGAGGGAGCATCATTATTCTGTTAGGCTAGGAATCAAGCTCACCTTTAAGAGTACTATATTTTCTGTTTGCATGTTATTTTTCTAATATTCTTTTACTTTAAACTGTTCTGTGTACTTATGTTTTACATATATTTCTTTCTTTCTTTTTTTTTTTTTTCTGAGACAGAGTCTCACTTTGTTGCCCAGGCTAGAATGAATGCCGTGGCGTTAGCCTAGCTTACAGCAACCTCAACCTCCTGGGCTCAAGCGATCCTCCTGCCTCAGCCTCCCGAGTAGCTGGGACTACAGGCACGAGCCACCATGCCCGGCTGATTTTTATATTATATATATTAGTTGGCCAATTAATTTCTTTCTATTTTTATGGTAGAGATGGGGTCTCGCTCAGGCTGGTTTTGAACTCCTGACCTTGAGCAATCTGCCCGCCTTGGCCTCCCAGAGTGCTAGGATTACAGGCATGAGCCACCCCGCCCGGCTGAGATATTATTTCTTATTCTCTCTTTTCTTGCTTTTGTTAGGACTGGTTAAATATTCCATTTTTGCCTCAGTTAGTTTAGAAGTTATGTACCCCATTTCCATTCTTTCAGTGGTTATCCTAGAAACTAAAATATGTATCCTTAAATTACCAAATTTAAGGTTAATCAACATTTTTCTCATTTTCCCGGACAACTCAAAAAGCTTAAAATACTAACACCCTTTCCCCACTTCTATGTTATTATTATTGAATACTTAATTTTTTATGGTAAACACATTTAGGATTTTTTTTCCCATAAATATATATATATATATATTTTTTTCCACCCGTAAATATATATATTTTAAAATTTAAATAGATTTGGGGGTACAAGTGGTTTTTTGTTATGCGACTGAATTGCTTAGTGGAGAAGTCTAGGCTTTTTTTTTTTTTTTTTTCTTTTTTGAGACAGAGTCTCTCTCTGTTTCCCAGGCTAGAGTGCCGTGACGTCGGCCTAGCTCACAGCAACCTCAAACTCCTGGGCTCAAGCAATCCTTCTGCCTCAGCCTCCCGAGTACAGGCATGCGCCACCATGCCTGACTAATTTTTTCTATTTTTGGTAGAGATGGGGTCTCTTGCTCACACTGGTCTCGAACTCCTGAGCTCAAACAATACTCCTGGCTTGGCTTCCCAGAGTGCTAGGATTACAGGCGTGAGCCACCGTGCCTGGCCCCCATCATTGTATTTTTAAATAAATTTTTTGTTTGGAATAATTTTTGATTCACAGCCAAGTTGCAAAGATGGTACAGAGAGTTATTATATATCCTTCACACAGCTTTTCCAATGTTAACATCTTACATAATCATGGTACCTTTGTCAAAACTAAGGACTTAACATTAGTACGATGCTATTAACTAAACTAGAGTTTATTTGGATTTCCCCAGTTTTTCCATTAATGTCCTTTTTTTCTATTCCAGGATCCAATCCAGGTTACCACCACACATTTAGTCATCATGTCTTCTTAGTCTCCCCTGGTCTGTGACATTCAGTGTCTTTCCTTGTTTGTTTGTTTTGCTTTGTTTTTTTATGGCCTTGATACTTTTGAAGAATATTGATCAGGTATTTTGTAAAATATCCCTCCATTTGGGTTTGTCTTATGTTTTCTCATGTTTAGACTGGGGTTATAGTTTTAGGGAAGAATATCCCAGACATGAGGTGCTCTTCTCATTGCATCTTATGGGGGTATATGACATCAATAACATGACTGGAAATATTAACCTAATCATTTGGTTAAGGTGGTATCTGCCAGATTTTTCCACTATAAAGTTGTTTTTCTCTTTCAATATTCTGTTCTTTGGAACCAAGTTACTAAGTCTAGTTCACACTCAAGTAGAAAGGACTTAAGCTCTACCTTCTGAAGGGGTTAATAGATACATTATTTGGAATTGTGTGAGGATGAATTGTCCCTTCTCCATTTGTTTATTTATTCAGTCATTTATTTAAATCAGTATGGATTCATAGATGTTTATTTTATTCCTTGGGTTATGATTCATCACCTTTTTACTACTCAGAATGGCCTATATTGTCCACCCACACCTTTTTTTCTTATTGTAGTAAAATGCACATAATATAAAAGTTACCATTTTAACCATTTTTAAGTGTAGAATTCAGTGGCACTAAGTACATTTACAATGTGTGTAACCATCAGCACTATCTATTTTTAAAATTTTTCCATCATCCCAAACAGAAACACTGTACCCATTAAACAATTATTCTCTTTTTTTTTTTTTTTTGAGACAGAGTCTCACTTTGTTGCCCAGGCTATAGTGAGTGCCGCGGCGTCAGCCTAGCTCACAGCAACCTCAAACTCCTGGGCTCAAGCAATCCTGCTGCCTCAGCCTCCCAAGTAGCTGGGACTACAGGCATGCGCCACTATGCCCGGCTAATTTTTTTTCTATATATATTAGTTGGCCAATTAATTTTCTTTCTATTTATAGTAGACACGGGGTCTCACTCTTGCTCAGGCTGGTTTCGAACTCCTGACCATGAGCAATCCGCCCGCCTTGGCCTCCCAGAGTGCTAGGATTATAGGCGTGAGCCACCGTGCCCGGCCAACAATCATTCTCAATTTCCCTCTCTCCCCAGCTCCTGGGAACCTCTATTTTACCTTCTGTTTCTATAAATTTTCTTATCAGAGTACCTCATATAAGTGGAATCATACAGTATTTGTCTTTTTGAGTCTTATTTCACTTAGTGTAATGTTTTCAAGGTTCATCCATGTTATAGCATAGGTCAGAATTTCTTTCCTTCTTATGGCTAATATTTAATTTTATGTATGGAGATACATTTTGTTTTTCTTCTCATTTGTTGATAGACCTTGGGTCTACTGTGAATAATGCTGCTATGAACATTGGTGAGACATTAGTATACAGGTATCTGTTTGAGTCCCTGCATTCAGTTCTTTTGGATATGTACCTAGGAGTGGAATTCCCGAAACATGATTCTGTATTTGACTTTTTGAGGCCCTGTCATATTGTTTTCCACAGCAACTGCACCATTTTAAATTCCCACTGAAATACATGAGGGTTCCAATTTTCCCATATTCTTGACAACGCTTGTCATTTTTCCATCTTTTTGATAATTGCCATCCTAGTGGATATGATGTGGTTTCTCACTGTGTTATTTAAAATTGTGCTAAAATAAACACCATAAAAATTACAGTTTTAATAATTTTGGATATACAATTCAGGGGCATTAAATACATTCACATTATTGTGCCACTATCACCACTAGTTTTAAAACATTTTCATCTTCCCAAACTGAAACTCTGTGCCCATAAAACAGTAACTATCAGTTGTTCACTATCCTAAACCCCTAGCAACCACCATTCTACTTTCTGTCTTTATGAATTTGACTACTCTAAGTAGAATCACACAGTATTTGTCCTTTTGTGACTAGCTTATTTCATTTAGCTTAATTTTCATCCTTATTGGTTGTAGCATGTGTCAGAATTTCATTTCTTTTTAAGGTTGAATAATATTCCATTGTATATATATACACCACATTTTGTTTATCCATTCATTCATTGGTGGACATTTAGGTTGTTTTTACCTTTTGGCTATTGTGAATACTGCTGCTGTGAGCATTGGTATACAAATAATCTGTTTGAGTCCCTGCTTTGAATTGTTTTGGGTATATATCTAGAAGTGGAACTGGTAGATCATATGTTACTTCTATGTTTAATTTTTTGAGGAGTTGGCATACTGTTTTCCTCAGTGGCTGTCCATTTTACATTCCCACCAGCAATATATGAGAATTCCAGTTTTTCCACATTCTCACCAGTACTTGTTATTTTCTAATGCATGTCTTCTTTTTTAATGTATGCATTTATAACTAGCAATTTCTTAGTACTGCTTTTGCTATATTTTATAAGTTTTGGTATGTTAGGTGTTCATTTTCATTAGTCTCAAGGTATTTTCTAATTTCACATTCATCTTTGACCCATTGGTTGTTTAAGAGTATGTTGATTAATTTCCATATATTTGTGAATTTTCCAGTTCTCCTTCTATGATTATTTTTTTTAAGAGACAGTCTCTCTCTCTCTCTCTGATGCCCAGGTTGGTGTACTGTTGCCCAATCACAGCTCACTGCAGCCTAGAACTCTTAGGCTCAAACTCCTGACGTGCTCCTCCTGTGTCATCTTCCTGAGTAGCTGGGACTACTACTGGCACCACAATGCCTTGCTAATTTTTCTTGTTTTTTGTAGAGACAGGTCTTGCCATGTTGCCCAGGCTGGTCTTGAACTCCTGGCCTCAAGTGATCCTCCCATCTTGGCCTCCTAAAGTTCTGGGATTATAGGTGTGGGCCACCACCCCCAGCCTTCCCACCCCACCATAAAAGGGCAGGGTCTTGCTCTGTCACCTAGGCTGGAGTACAGTATGTGATCATAGCTCACTGCAGCCTCAAACTCCTGGGGTCAAGTGATCCTCTCACCTCAGCCTCTCAAGTACTAGAACTATAGGTGTGTGCCCCCATACCCAGCTAATTTTTAAATGTTTTTTCAGAGGCAGAGGTCTCACTATGTTTCCCAGGCTGGTTTTGAACTCGTGGGCTCGTGATCCTCCTGCCTTGGTCTCCAAAACTGCTGGGATTACAGGCATGAGCCACTATGCCTGGCCTGTCTCACTCTTATGAGGATCCTTGTGATAATCTCCCTATCTCAATATTCTTAACTTAATCACAATTGCAAAATTCCTCATGCCATAAAATAATCACAGGTGTTAGGGATTAGTACATGGATTTTTGTTGTTGTAATATAGTGTAATAATGTAGTGGCATTATTCTACCTACATTTGTCTTTCTGGAACTTGCAATTACTAATATATGTGTGCTAGACCCCAGAGTATCTTCTGTGTGTCCTATCATCCTTTCTATATTTTCCCATCTTTTTAATTCTCAGTGTTTCCTCTGACCTACCTTTAAGTTTACTAATTCTTCACCTGTGTTTAAACTGCTCTTACACTCATCCACTGACTTCATAATTTTGGCCAGCTTTAGGATTACTGCTTGGTTCTTTCTAAATTCTGCTATGTCATCTTTTAGTTTCTAATTCTCTACTGATATTTTCAAGCTTGATTTTTATTTTTTTAGGATAATATGTTTGATCTGTCTGACAATTCTAATACTTGAAGTCTTTGTGGACATGTTCTTTTGGGTGGTGTGATCATAGTGCTTTCTTCCTTTTGTGTCTGCTTACTTTTAAAATTTTTTTAAATTGAAGTATAAGATAGTTACAGAAAAGTATACCTATAATAAGTATATAGCATGTAGAATTTTCACAAACTGACCATACCCATGCAGCCAGAATTCAGATCAAGAATAGAATATTATCAGCTCAAGAAACCTTATATGTTCTTCCAACCACCCCTACCAACTTGCTCTCCTTCCCCACATAAAGATAACCACTATATTGACTTTGAGAGCATAGACAAATTTTTGCCTATGTTTTTACTTTATGTAAATCATACAAAATTTACTTTTTTTTTTTTTTTTTTTTTTGAGACAGATTCTCACTCTGTCGCCCAGGCTAGAGTGTTGTGGCGTCAGCCTAGCTCACAGCAATCTCAAACTCCTGGGCTCAAGTGATCCTCTGGCGTCAGCCTTCCAAGTAGCTGGGACTACAGGCGTGCACTACCATGCCTGGCTAATTTTTTGTTTCCATTTTTAGTTGCCTGGCTAAATTTTTTCTGATTTTGGTAGAGATGGGGGTCTCGCTCTTGTTCAGATTGGTCTCAAACTCCTGAGCTCAAGCAGTCCACCTACTTCAGCCTCCCAGAGTGCTAAGATTATAGGCGTGAGCCACTGTGCCTGGCCAAAATTTATTTTTTGTGTCTGGCTTCTCTTCCTCAATGTTGTGTTTTTGTGATTCATCCATAATATTGTTCTTAGTTGTAGGCTCATTCATTCTCCTTGCTGTGTAGTATCCCATTGTGCCTGGTTAGCCTTGATTATATATTATACATGGCATTTAAAAAATTATTTATAGGAATATCTGAGGCCTAACATAATGGTATCATCTTCCAGAGAGGACTTTGTTACTCCCTGGTCCATGGGATTGGGGGAGTCCACTAGTAGGAGACTGCCTTAATTAAAGTTTAAGGCTTGAACTTTGCTGGACCACCCAGATGATGCAAAGCTGGGCTATGTTTTGCCTTTACCGCTACTTTCTTTTATTTCTAGTTGCCTCTTACCTTGAAAGTATAACCTTTAAGGTTCCAGCTTAAAGTGGGAATATTATCAGACTCCCCATCTCTGAGGGACCCTGGGCTTTGACTGTCACTCTCCTCCCCTCTGTCAAAGCCCAAAAGGTTGCCAGAAGAACAGCTTCTGGCTAAGCCAACAGGGCCAAAACATGGCCAGCTGGTCCGAGTGCTGAGTACCAGTCAGGCCTTGTAGGAAGTACTCTAACTGCCTGTGGTTCTGCCCTCCTGTGCAGGAAGGCATTAGATCAAGGAAGAGCAAGACAGACCCTGTTGTGGTCAGAGTGGCTGCCTGGCCTGTGTCTCCCAACCAAGCTAGGGCTCATTAGTCTGTTGTCCTGCTTTTCATTCCAGCCTAATTCAGTGGTTCGAGACAGCACCAAGTCGGACCTGCCCACAGTGCCGAATCCAGGTGAGGGTGCTGGGCTGGGACTACCTCAGCTGAAGACATCTTTTCTTTACCAGGGAGTAGGAATGTGGAAAGACCTCTGAAGTTTAGATATATCTCTGACCTTTTTGGACCCTCCTGATTTGAGGCCAGTTAGGCCTCACTTGTGCCCTTGAGTTACTTGGGAGGCCTACTTGTACCCAGGGAGAGCTGGAAGATGGACGTGTTGCCTAGGCTAGTTTTTACTTGGGTGGATTTAGCCTCCCTTACTGCCTTTTCCTCAGTGCCCCAGCGCCTAGGGTTGGGTGTCTTTTGAACACTCACCACATGGGTCTACAGTAACTCAACTTTAGCAACCACCAAACCAGAAGCCCCAGCTTAGGGTACTTACAGGGGTGAAGAGGTCATCTGACTCCAAAAGATGTGCTTTGAAAGGTTAGGCCTGAAAACAGGCCTTGCATGGATGTCAGGCAAGCAGTCCGACCCATGTACAACCCTGTCCTCCTTGCCTGTGACCCAGCTCCACAGTCATACTTTATCTTGTTCTCCCATCCAGGTTGGCAAAAGAACCATCATCAATAAGCTTTTCTTTGACCTTGCCCAGGAGGAGGAGAATGTCTTGGATGCAGAATTCTTAAAGGTACCCAGAATTTATCTGATTCTACTTAAACCCAAGTCCTCTGGGAGTTTACTTTCTACTCCTATACAAGCAGGGTGCTTAGAATGTGGAGATGGGGGTTTGGAAGGGAGACTTGGTAGAGATTTCAAGGCAGCGGTAAGCAGAGCAGAAGACAAGTGATGAGACACAGTCAGCAGAGAAATACTGTAAGGGAGAAAGGGGGCTGCTTGACAGTGAGCCCTCCCCTTGAGATTTCAAGGCAATTCCGACCAAAGTGCAGAGTGCCTCTCCAGAGATCCCCTCACCTTTTGAAGGACCTACAGCCATCCTGCCTATTCCACATTGCTGCTGGGACAGTTAGTGACAGATGAGAAAACTCTCTCACTCCCCAACCAGGGAAGATTTGTGGACCCACTGTTCCCTAACCTGGCTATGCCTCAAAATTGCATGAGGAGCTTGGTATAAAGTCAGATGCCTGGGCCTTCCCCAGACCAGGAATAGAGGGCAGAGCCTCTGGAATAAAGATTTGCAGCCCACGTGGAAACCCACATTGCAGGGGAGAGTGGGTAAGTTCCCTCTTATACTTCTACTGCTTCCCCTCCAAATCTAAAATTTAGCTTTTTTTTGTGCATAAGGAGGCTGGATTGGCAGAAAGCTCTTGAAGAAGTTGGATTGGGGTTCACAAATGATCCCTGGACTCTGAGAGTTAATTTGCTGGGCATCTGTCAGATCAGAGTTCATTTGGCCCTGGGCCTAGGGTGTCATGACGTCCTTGGAACCTCAGTGCTTCAAGAACAAGGAGCTTTTGTGCTTAGAGCTGGCATGTTCATCGTCATGGTAACTGCTCTCAGTTTTAAGAGGTGTCCTCCCTGTGATGAAAGCAACAAAGGCAGCTTCCTTTGTTGCTTTCCTCTTTTTTCTGTCTTTCAAAGCCAGATATGTGAGACAGGAAAGCAACATCTTGAGTAGTTTGGAGCAAGGGCTTGGAAGCCCCTGCTGGGTGTGAAAGGAACCAGGGGACTATGGGTAGTGATGTAGCAGCCTTGGCTGGTGTCTGTTCTCAGGCAGCCCTTGCATGCCCTTCCTTACCCACCACTTCCATTCCCAGCTACTCAGCCTACACTAACCAGCCACGCCACCAGAAGCTCCTGCCTCCAGAGTCCTGGTTACAGTTTGATAGCAGGGGCCACCTGCTGGGTCACCTGTGAAATTCTGAGTCATGTGTTCACCTTAGAAGGGAGATCTAGAGTAAGGTTTGCTTGGATTCCATCCAGATACCACTGTGGACCTTTGGTCAAGTGTTTTAGTTCTGCAAAACCTTTGTTTTCCTGGTTATGGAGTAGAAACCTCTTTTGCCCATAGGGATGTTGATTGAGTTCTCTAGGCTCTTGAACGGGAGCTGGGTTCAGTTCGGCCCCAGCCTCTCAATGATTCTGTGACTGACTGAATCACCACTGACTGACTCTCAGTGGCTCTGGAACATACACAAGGGCTTTGAGAGGCTCTCTTTACCCTCACAACAGTCTGGTTAAGAGCCTAGCCCATGCGAGGTTTCATCCAGGACTACAGAGCTGTCCTGGTTTACCTACCTCTATTGGATTCTGGGGCTGGAAGGTTTCTGGTACAGATACAGAGCCAGCTTAGAGCTTGGAAAGGAGGTAGACTGTGAAGCAGGCAGGATTCAGGGTGGAGAGAAGGAGTGGTGGGCCAAGGTCCTTGGCCATTCCTATTCTTTGTTCCTGGTAAGAGTAGCCAATGCCCATAGAGAATGAGGCCAGCACAGAGAATGAGGCCAAGGAAGTGATGGGAGCCTCTGCTGTTGAAACTGATCACATGGTCTCCCCTTTACTTCCCTTGCCACTATTCTGTCCCTATCCCTGTCCTGGGGTCTTGTTCCTGAGATGATTTTTTTTTTCCCTCCATCTTACCTACTTTTCAAAAAGCCACATAAAATAAATGCATATAAAGTAATGCTTATCTCTTCATTGTTGACTTAGCTTGGCCTTGAGGTACAGCAGGATCCATACTTCCCTGGACCTATAGGCCTCATTATCCAATCCTGGGGCTCCCCTCAGCCTTATGGGAGGCCAGGTGGAGATCAGCTATGATACTTTCCTGCTGCTTATTGTGGTTATTGCCTTACAGAATGAACTGGACAATATCAGAGCCCAGCTTTCCCAGAAAGGTAAGTTAGCAAGACAAGGGACCCTGGGAAGCCCCTAACTTAGATACTAGAGGGAAGAGCACTAGGAGGATGGCCTCTAAATTTTTGGCAGAGCCAAGAGCTCTCCCTGCTTTTTATGTCCAAGAGTCATGCCAGCTCTTGTGACTGGCAGAAAAAGAAAGGAAAGGGAGGTGACTGAAGCTGTCCACCTAAAACAAGTGAGCCTCTTCTCTCTGTCTTTAGCTTCTTGCCCAGAACCCAGGCTGGGCCACCTAATGGGACAGAGTATCTTCAGGAGAGGGCTCAGCTGCTGACTTTGTCTAGAACCTACTTGAGTTCTGAGATGATGAACTAACTAGACCCATGGGAGGAGGAAACAGTAAAATCTTTTCCCAAGTAGTTCAAGCAGCAAAAATAGGGTTTGTACCTGAATGAAGGCTCTGGCTTAGCTTCGCTGGTTTGGTGCATGGCCTAAGCCTTGTTTCTTATTACCTGGCTCAGGATGAGGTGCTAGTACCCAAGGGACCAGGTTCTCATGTTGATAGATGGATAGACCTCTCTCTCCCCCACCCTTCACCCCTGTTCCAGAGAAGGAGAAAAGGGACAGCCAGGCCATCATCGACACTCTGCGGGACACAATGGAAGAACGCAACGCCACTGTGGAATCTCTGCAGCAAGCCTTAGGCAAGGCTGAGATGCTGTGCTCCACACTCAAAGTGGGTCCTCTGGTCTTGTGGGTATAGAATTGTGGGGGAGATATAGCTCTAGTCCTGGGCTCACCATTCTGGGCTTATCTTCTGGTTCTGCCTCAGTCAATGCCTTGGTTTGTGCAGTTGTGAAATGGAGGCAGATTACTTCTTCCCCAAGTCCTTCCACACTCTACCCATCCAACCTGTGTGTTTGTGGATTTTGTGCTTGGTAGTTTGGAGAGACAAGGCCTTTCCAGCACTTCACAGAGGGGATGCTCAACTAAGACCTCAGTAAGGCTGGGCCATGTTTCCAAAAGTGGTTCATACTCTACTGATGAGGCCAGCTTGAAGAACCTTCCATTAGCACTCCAGTCCTTGGCTGGGCTGCTCTCTGGAGCCAGATCAAACAGCATCCCAGGGTAGAGCAAGGGCCTTTGAAGTCAGCTGTGCTGAGCTGACCGGGCAGATCAAAGCCTGCAGTGCAAACAGCCCTAGACCCAGATGAATTTTGTATCAGCCTGAGTTGGTGAGCCTCTTGCTCTCCAAGGGGCATGAGGCGATTGATCTGAACCCATGATTGATATTCTGGCCTTGTAGGCAGGAGCAGTGCTTGCTGGATGCTGTTTGAAAGGGAAAGGGAGCCATCCTTGTGAACAGACAGGCCCCAGGATATTCATTGTCTCTGTTCCTGCTTGGGGGCTGGGCCACATCACATGGCCTAACTAGTGGGAGGGAGCAAACTAGCACCTGGCTTCAGAACAGGAGTCTCTGATGACATTTTCAGGTCAGAGATGGAGTGGTCTTTTGCTGAGGGCAGCCTGGCCAGCTGCCCCTGGCTCAGTTCTCCTATCTTGGTAACTGTTCATGGGTCTGGATGGTGGATGATGAAGCCTGGGTTTGTGCTCTGGACTTCTTTAGCTACCTGCACAACATGTACCACGAGGCCCAGATCACTGGACTTTGGCAGCTTACAACAAGCCTATAGATGCTGGCAGTGGGCTGTGCCTATGGTAAGACATATCTCAGGAGGAAGCAGGCAGGGAGGTGAGCAAGCAGCTGGCCTAGAGCCTCTTAGCAGAAAAAGTACAAGCCAGAATGGGGTCTAGGAACCTTACTTCCTGGGGTTTGGGAACACATGGTTATCAGCATTTTCAAAAGATAAGGTACAGACAGTTATAGAGTGAAGTTTTCCCACTGACTTTAGCTATGGCTCCCGGTATGTGTGTATTTGTTCTTCAGAAGCAGATGAAGTACTTGGAGCAGCAGCAGGATGAGACCAAACAAGCCCGGGAGGAGGCTCGCCGACTCAGGAACAAGATGAAGACCATGGAGCAGTGAGTTTAGAGCTAAGTCCTGCACTGCGTCTTTGTACCCAGGGCCCCCAGGTGGTAGAGCTCTTAAGACTGCAGCAGGGAGTGGGGTTGGATAGCCTATGTGGTTTAAATCTCTGTAAGCCATGGAGGACTCACGCCAGCCAGGTATGGATGGGCACAAGTCTCCTTGCTTAGCTTCTATGGACTCCCATTTTCTATGGGGGGGCTTGCTATAGTCCTCCCTATCTGTTGTGTGTAGCCAGATGACCTGGCAGGTCTTTGCTTCCAGGATTCTCTCTCTGGGAAATCCTTGACCTTGAGGCCCTCTGTCAGCAGCTCTTCTTCACAGCATCCCTGGAGCTGTGCTTAGCTTTGCTATGGGGCTTTTCCTTGGGCACACCCACCTGCTAAAACATCTTAGCAGCTGAGGCTGTTACCATAGCAACAACAGCACAAGCAGGCAGAACTGTACTGGGTGCCTACCCATCAGCCTCCAGATTTCAAATGCTGTGGGCTGGTGTGTTTTTCAGGATTGAGCTCCTACTCCAGAGCCAGCGGCCTGAGGTGGAGGAGATGATCCGAAACATGGGTGTGGGACAGTCAGCGGTGGAACAGCTGGCTGTGTACTGCGTGTCCCTCAAGAAGTATGTACTCTGGCCCCTCTCAACAAGCCCAGGAGCTAGGCCATGGGGTCCTAGCCATGCCACTGCTGCCCATCTCTTGTAAAGCAGATGGACTTAAGGGGCAAGCTCTGGAGCTATGCTGCTGCAGTTTGAACCGTGACTCTACCTCTCATCAGCTGTATGGCCTGGGGCCAGTTTCTTGGCCTCTCTAACCCTCAGCTTCCTGAGTGGAGATAGAAATAGATGTGCCTCATAGGGTTATTAAGAGAATTGAGTGTGGATTTTAAGTGTTGTTTCTAAGGGAGTTGATACAGCCCTCTGAGCTATAAGCCCCATCATGGTATCAGCACTATTATTGACCCTGCCTGGCTTGAATCAAACTTTGCTTGCATTCTTCTCTATGGTGGGGGTGAGGTTGGCAGAAAGGGGGACTACTTGGCTGACTGGCCCAGAGGGTCCAAGATACCTCATGTAGGACCAGATGGTATAGGGGGCCCCCTAGTGAGGCTGGAGCTTCCTACACACCCTCTTAAGTTACCAGTGCCTGTAGGACAGGCAGGGAACAAAGTCACCTCTATGCATTCTGTGCAGTCCCTTCTACAGCACCACCTGGCCCCTGTTGGGCTCAGATATCAAAGTAGGAATGAGAATGAGCTGAGGGTTTGGGTGGTGCTTTGTGTTAGGTTGGTGCTATGGCTCAGTCTGACCTACAGGGTATTCTGTTCTGGCATCTCTTTTAATGGCCACTTTGCAGAGAGTATGAGAATCTGAAAGAGGCACGGAAGGCCTCAGGGGAGCTGGCTGACAAACTGAAGAAGGACTTGTTTTCCTCCAGAAGTAAGGTAACTTAGTGGGGAGCAAAAGGGTGAAGGGAGAGGTGGCTCACTTTTCCGGATGCTCACTCAAGTCTCCTGAGCAAGGCCATGGGACCTTGTGGCACAGCTGACTCCATGAGGCTGTTGGATGACTTACAGAGACTGGTTACTGGTCGTTACTGGGTATTGTCTATGTGGCTTGTCCACTTGAGGTAGCAGATCATGGAGGTATTCCCTGCAACACATGCATACTCATGATCCCCTCTGCTCTTCCTGGCTCCTGAGCAGGATAGAGAGCACAGGCCCTGAATGTGACAGCTTCAAAGGCCTGTTTTTGTACTAGGCCCAGAGTAGGAGAGCTCCTAGAACTTAATTTGGTCAGCACAGCTGTTTTACTTCTGCATGGTGCATCCATGGGCTGCAGGGTGTAGGAAGCAGCATTTGTTCCTGGGTAGCTCCAGATGCAGATGCACTTTGCCAGACTGAAGCCTATCCTCAGAGAGTTGAGATCTCTTCCTATACCCCCAGTCTCTTATGGACCCTAGGCTACCTGGACCATGCACTGGGTAGCCAGGTGGAGACAGGGTATGTGGTCACCACTTGGCTTTTCCTTTACTCCCTACACTTTCTTGCAGTTGCAGACAGTCTACTCTGAATTGGATCAGGCCAAGTTAGAGCTGAGGTCGGCCCTGAAGGACTTACAGAGTGCTGACAAGGAAATCACGGTGAGGGACATCCTTGGCCAGATTGGGAATGAAGGGTTTGTATGCTCTCTGAGCAGGGGCGGGCTGTCTCCGCGCAGAGGCTGTGCACCAGTTAGTGCTGGTGGTTCTGGGCTCCTTACATTCTCCTGCATCAGGGTATGTATGCCCTTTGGCCCTTGTCTGGTCTAGAGCCTGGGCCTCCTCGGCAGAAAGCAGACAACACCATGTGTCTTCCTCACAGTCTGTCTGTACCTGCATCCTTGAGGTGCTTAGTTACCAGAGGAGGAGCTCTACCAGAGAGAGGTTCTAAAGCCTGGTGGGCTTGGCCTTCTGAGCCTGATATTGGGGTTTCAGGCCTTGTTCTGTTCCCAATGGAACTGCCTTTCATGCATGCTGTTCATGTCCTCCACATTATCTCTGGACTCGATGCCTCAGCCTTTCTCTCACACTCTTCTCTTTCTTTCCCCAAGAGCCTGAAAAAGAAGCTAAAAATGTTGCAGGAAACCTTGATCCTGCCACCGGTGACCAGTGAGACTGTCAACCGTCTGGTTTTAGAGAGGTTTGTTGACACTCTGGCATGGTGCAGTGGTCACAAGCTGGGAGAGCTCCCTTGGAAGGGTCTTTACTCCTCCTGGCTTTAGTGGAGTTGGGGGCCTTGGTGGACTTGAAGTCTGTGGACCTCCTGCCCTGGGAGCCAGCCAAGGTTTAGTTGGAAAGCAGCTTTGAGGCAAATTCTGGGCTCTGACAAGGAGAGGCCAGAGAAGGCCAGAAAGGACCTAAGGGCAATCTGAGAATGGGGCAGGAACACTACCTATCTTGGGGCATCCTCTTTATGGAGTGGCTCACCACATGGGTCTGTCTGCCCCAAATTCTGAAACAAATATGAAACCACTGTAAAATACTAATAATAATACCCTTGGTCCCAGAAATGTGTACTTTAAAGCTGCCAGCAGAAGGAGCCAAGAGGAAGAGGGATTGGTGTACTGGTAGGAGTGGGCATCCATTTCTGCTCCTGCATGTTTCACAGAAACAGACTAGATGAGAGCATCCTCAAGGCTAACTCCTGCCTGCAAGGGACCCTGGCAAGGACCCAGGCAGAAAACACACAACTCTTGTCAATGACCCAGGCTTTTCTTTTTTGATCTTTTTCTTTTTTAAGAGACAGGTTCTCGCTCTGTTGCCCAGAGTAGGGTGCTTTGGCCCAATCACATCTCACTGCAGCCTAAACTCCTGGACTCAAACAATCCGCCCACCTCAGCCTCCTGAGTAGCTAGTATTACAGGCCCATGCCACCATGCCCAGCTAATTTTTAATTTTTTTGTAAAGTTGGCATCTTGTTATGTTGCTCAGGCTGGTCTCAGACTCCTGGCCTCAAGCAATCCTCCTGCCTCAGCCTCTCAAAGTGCTGAGATCACAGGCATGAGCCACCACACACAGCCAGCCCTTTTAACTAGGCACAGTCTGTTCTAAATTCAGGGCTGCAAGCACATTTTCTCAGAACCTCTTGAAAACATTTGCTTCCCGCTGTTGGTCACACACACTGATCTCAGAATAAGCCTCTTTAAATTATTAATATAATGAACAAACAAAAAAAATTGACTCCTCAGTGGCAGCTTTGCTATGTCTTCTTTGTACCCTGATGGCAAGGCCCTTAAAACTACAAATGACCTGAAAGACCCTGCCTCTAACTTTCTTCCATGACAGCTGATATGTTGCTGCATAGGTCTGAAAGAAGTCTTGTTTTCCTGATATATTGCAATTTTGGGGCACATTCCTTCAACCAACATTCAGATCTGAAGGAAGAGCAGTCCAGGTAGAGAGGATGGCAAGTATAAAGTCCCTGAGGCCTGACTGAGCTGCGTATCCTTGGAGGAGGGGCTGGCGGCAGGTGGGCCAAACTTCTGCAGGATTATGTAGGCCAAGCCTGTAGTACAGATTTTATCCCCAGGACAGTGGAAACTATTGGGGATGCCTGAGGAATATCACTCTGGTAGGATGAGCACATGCCTCTGATTTTTGTCCCATCACCCACTGATGATTCCTCGAACCTGTACTCCAGCCCAGGGAGCACCAAATCACCAGCTTGATGTCTACCCTCTTAGACTTCTATTTCACTACAAAGGAAAACCCTATAAGACCACAGTGTTGAAATAATTTGGGGGGCGGGGGTAACTTTAGGTATTTCTTAATATTTTGGTCATTCCCTAATTTTTAAAATATAACTCCTTGGAATGTGTTGGAGATGGATATAGATCACTTCACAGAAATTCATGTAATTCCTCCTGGCATCCAGGAGGAACTTTTAAGAAATTTTTAAATTAAGAAATTTAACTACAGCTGGGTGCGGTGGCTCACGCCTGTAATCCTAGCACTCTGGGAGACCGAGGCGGGAGGATCGCTCAAGGTCAGAAGTTCAAAACCTGCCTGAGCAAGAGTGAGACCCCATCTCTACTATAAATAGAAATTAATTGACCAACTAAAAAATACATAGCAAAAATGATCTGGGCATGGTGGCACATGCCTGCCTGTAGTCCTAGCCACTTGGGAGGCTGAGGCAGAAGGATTGCTTGAGCCTAGGAGTTTGAGGTTGCTGTGAGCTAGGCTGATGCCACAGCACTCTAGCCGAGCAAAAGAAAATAGAAATAACTAGTCTGAGTAAGAGCAAGACCCAGTCTCTACTAAAAATAGAAAAAATTAGCTGGGCGTGGTGGTGCATGCCTGTGTTCCCAGTTACTCAGGAAGCTGAGACAGTAGGATTGCTTGAGCCAGGAGTTTGAGGTTGCAGTGAGCTATGATCATGGCACTGCACTCTAGCTCAGGTGATAGAGCAAGACCCTGTCTCAGAAAAAAAAAAAAATCAAGAAATCTCTTAACTTTTTACTTCAGCAGTATTTCTTTCTTTCTTCTTCTTCTTTTTTTTAATGAGACAGATATCACTCTGTCGCCCCAGGTAGAATTTAGTGGCATCATCATAGCTCACTGCAACCTCAAACTCCTGGATTCAGGCGATCTTGCCTCATCCTCCTACGTAGCTAGGACTATGGACATATGCCTAAGTTTTCTATTTTGAGTAAAGATGGGGTCTCACTCTTGTTCAGGCCGGTCTCAAACTCCTGACCTCAAGTGATTCTCCTGCCTCGGCCTCCTAGAGTGCTAGGATTACAGGTATGAGCCACTGCTCCCAGCCTTCACCAGTATTTTTTATTGTGGTAAAATATACATAACATAAAATTCACCATCATAACCATTTTCAAGTACAATTCTGGCATTAAGTACATTCACATTGCTGTACAACCATCACCTCTATCCATCTCTAGGACTTTTTATCTTCTAAAACCAAACTTTACCCGTTAAACAATAGCTCCCCATTCTCCTCTCTCCCCAGTCCCTACAACTACCATCTACTTTTTGTCTCTATAACCTTGACTACTCTAGGAGTCTCATAATAGTGGAACCATATAATATCTGTCCTTTTGTAACTGGCTTATTTCACTTAGCATAATGCTTTTAAGGTTCATCTGTGTTGTAGCATGTGTCAGAATTTCTTTCCTTTTTAAGACTGAATCAGTAATCATATTTTAAATTTGGACGTGTTCTTTCTTGCTCTTTCTTGCTTGTTTTGTAAAACATGCCATTCTTGTTTTAAGGTCTCACATTTCTGCTTATCTCGGAGTCAATATTTGTACATCAGGGCCTTTCTCTTGGGCTCCCTTCCCATGTCTGGTGGTCCTTTGCTGCTTGGGAATGCAACCTATGTGGGCAGGGTTTGCAGGAAGTGTGCAGTGAGCTGGCATCATGCTGGAAGGTCTTACCTGAACTGAGAATGCAGAAGGCTTTACTGTCAGGTCCAATATTGACTGTCCTAGGTCACTGTACATGGTTTGCTTATTGTCTTTGGGAAAATCTCCTCCATTTCTTAGCTCAGGGTAGCAGCCTGATTGGGAGACATGATTGAGCTGAGTACCTTTAGAACCCTAGCTGCCTCAAGGCAGGGAGTATAAAACCTTTTCCTAGGATATGACTGAAGATTGCTATCTGTACCTTAGTTTTCAGGGCTGCTTAATGCTTCTGTAAGGTCCTTCCTTGCATTTGCAGCTCCCTCCTTGTGGGTTCTGGCTGCTGTTTCAGTCTCCTGTCCCCTAGTCATGCTCTCCCAGAATTTTGTGGAAATCTCTGGGTACCAATGTTGGTTATTACCCTTTCCATTTTGTTACAATAGTATTACCTTTCACACCTGTCATTTTAGGGAGGACTTAGCCACCACCCCAACTATAGAGGGAATGGTAGGAAGTCCTTTCACTTGGGCTCCAAGGGCCCCTGGCCTCTGGCCTAGAGGGAGTTGGGGAGGCCATTGCTTAGGATAAGGCTACCAGGGATCCGCGAGTTCATAGAGGAGATGCTGGCTGGGCATGGTGGTTCACAGCTGTAATCAGCACTTTGGTAGGCTGAGGTAGGAGGATCACTTGAGGCCAGGAGTTCTAGACCAACTTGGACAAAATAGCGAAACCCACATATATGAAAAAATAAAAAGAGAAGACATTGATTGAGCCCCTGCCACACAGGTAATGAGTCTGCCCAGGGCCTTTCCTCTGTTTTAGTAAGGAGAACTTTGAGTGCCTTGCCCTACTTCCTGAGACCTCTGGCATGATCCTTGTAAATTGGCCATAGGTAGGTGTCCCAAGGGTGATAGTATCACTCAGGAGGGCTGCTATCTAGCCTCTCAACCAGTAAAAGAGAGGTCACTGAGCCCTGGGTTCTTCCTTGTAGGACAGACAGAAAGTGGGAAGGAAAGAAAGTGGACCCCTGGCAAGAAGGGAAACAGGCTTCAAGCTCACAAAGGAAGAAGATGATACTGGGAACAGTTGGAGAGAACAAGAAATGTGTCCATATGAATCAGATGTGTGTGTGAGGGCTGAGGGAGGCACTGTGAGAACCTCTTAAGTCTTGAGTTTAGTGTTGTGGATGGCCAAGAGATGTGAGTGAAGAAGACTGGCTTTCGCTGGAGCCAAAGCTAAGCATGTTCTTGGGCAGTACTGGGCAAGGCCAGAGGGTATGGTAGTAAGAAGTCCTTCCTTGAGCTACCTGGAGGGTAAATTGGGTATACTCAGCTAGACCCTGCCTGCCTCTTGAGTTCCTAATGTTTCTTTTTGTTTGTTTGTTTCTTTTTTTTTTTTATTTGATATAGAGTCAAACCGAGATCCTAATGTTTCTTAACCTGAGTCTGGACTTGCTAGTAAATGGATACTGCAAAAAAGTTGGCATAAGTAATCCTTGGCTGCTGCTTTTTGCTGTGGTTCCCAGAGGGGGAAGAAAAACAACCAACGTGGAGTTGGTTTGAGGTGTATTTGGGCAGCCTTCATTTCTACTTGCAAGCGAGTAAGAAAGTAGAGCTTCCAGGGGCCTGGCCAGGGAAAGGCAGAAATAGTCCAGGCTTTCTGGGTTGCTTACCCACCCAGATCAGTGCAGGTAGCTCCCTTCTGATCTGTCTCCTGTTTTTATTTTTCGTTTTTTCGTAGATACGGGTTTTGCTATTTTGCCCAGGCTGGTCTAGAACTATATTTGCTCTCCAGAAATACTAATGCCTAAATCATATTCAATTTATGGAAGTGCTAGCCTCTTAGGGGAGTTATTTTGATGGTTTCTAATATGGTACTATTTTCTGTGATAAGTAGCAACATCACAGGGGGACGGACAGAGAACTTCCCTCTACATCAGCCTGTAGTGTCATCTCTGACTGGCTCCTTGCACTGGATTCTGAGAAATGAGGCTACATGGTCAAAGGCAGCAGTCTTTTGTTTGTACATTTGGTTTTTGTCTGGGTTTTCACTTGCTTCGTTCCTTGTCTTCTAGACTTTCACTGGTCCCATGACTGTGTGAAGGACTGAGCCAAATGATTTATTCTGTAGGGATTAGGGCTTTCTCACTGAGTGGCCCTCAGTCCGGAGTGGGCTACAGACCACGGGAGCTGAGCTATCTCTGATGCTTGAGGGGCTATCATCGTTCTGGCCAGCAACTGTGGTCCCAAGTAACCAGGCCATCTCTACCTTCAGCCCAGCCCCTATGGAGATGCTGAACCCGAAGCTCCGCCCACCATCCTTCAGTGATGAGATTGATCTCAGTGCTACCTTTGATGTGGATACCCCACCTGCCCGGCCCTCCAGTTCCCAGCATGGCCACTCCAAGAAGCTCTACCTGGAGAGGTCACAGTGAGTGGTAGTCCATAGCACTGTCCATGACCTGGTGGGGGGATGGCTAAGACAGTTCTGTAGGCCCTGCACTAAAAGCTCTGAGTGGCTGATGGGGCAGTGAGGGCTGCCTAGGCTTGGCTGTGACTTTGGTTCCAGCCACCTCTTCCCTCTCCAGAGCACTTAGTCTGTGTGAAACCCTTCTGTTGTCTCATTAATCCTCACCATTACCCTTCAAGGCAAAGGTGTTAGAATGTGAGTTAGAGAGAATGCAGAGGTTTGGACTGGTGATGTTGAGGAGGCTGTTCTTAATACCTTGAATGCCTGCCTAACATAGTCCTACTCTGGGGACTCTGAACTTTCTCATCCATTCTGTGCCCCTGAGGCCCATGCTTGTGGTAGGATCATCTGAAACCATGGAGCCCAGGGCTCTACCACTCAAGGGGGTAGCCAAGAGGGGTAGGCCTGAGGTGCTATCCAGAGTTACAGTGGAGCAGGTGGGACTTGCACTAGAGGTACAGTAGAACTTGGAAAAGGGAAACTGTCTCCTTGGCCAGGCCTGCCAAGTTAATTCACTGTGGAGACAAGGACTACACTCATTTGTACATGTAGGTATATGCTACTCAGGTAAGGGAGGTCAGCAGCTGAGCAGGTTTCCTCCTAATTAAAGACTTTGGATAGGAGAGAAAGAAATTGAGATATTAGACAGTGGAGTTGGAAGAGGGCAAGAGAACGAGCCAGCTGGGCTATCCACCCTCCCAAACCTCCCAAACCCGTGCAGTACACGGCCAGGCCTAGTAGCAATGAGAAACAAACCTAGGGCCTGTGGACTGTAGTCAGGGAGCCTATCAGTGCCTGTTCCAGACTCTGGCTTCTTCATCTTGCCTCTTCACCTGTATAGGTTGAAGATGGGCACCTGGGGTTTTCAGGATCCTAGGCCTTTTAGAGATACTTCCCTCATCTTGAGGGCCTACTGGGAGAGCGAGGGAGCCCAAGATGCCCCTAACTCAGTTCATCCTCCCCAGAGCCAGACTCGCAGCAAATGGAGAGTCTTTCCATGGTCACCATATGGCCTCTCTGTGTAGGCCATATGTGGTGTAGGAGCAGAGAAGTTCAGAGTCAGTAGGCCATGATCCCACTCTTGTCCTCATGGCTTGGGGAGCCTCAGAGTCAGCCCTAGATCACCATCCTCCCACCCACTTGGGAAAATACCAGGAGAGGATATCCAGCTGCTAGGTTCCCCAGGAACTGGATGGAAACACAATGTCCAGCTCTGGGGCTGGGAGTGGGAGGCCAGGGCATAGAGCCATGCTCTATTCTGTCCTAGACTCTACCTGCACGATTCTCTAGGAAGATGGCCTGGCCCTGTGTTCTGAGAGTACTTTTCGGACTACCTTACTGAGAGGCTAATTTACTGAGGGTCTTGTGGAAGTAGTGCCCTCTCTCTGGGCAGATAGGACTAGGCCTGAGCTCATTAGATGCCTCTGCTTCCAGCAAGGCATGACTAGTTTTCTTGCTGTGGGCGGTGAATCTGTTGGGCTCCCCAGCCTCATGTAGAGCCTGGGACATGGTGAGGTGCCCAAGGACTTGAATAGCATTGGAATTTGGCCCTGAGTGGAAACCACAAGATTTGGACATGGTCCAATCTTCCCTGTCTCCACCACCCTGCTGTCTGTGGCTGTCTGGCTGTTCACAGAACTGAACTTTGGGTGGGGATCACTAAAGTGCCTGCCTAGAATATAGCCGTATCAGCAGCCATGCCACATGGACTCCCCAAGGGTTGTATGCTGAGATGGCTCACCTACTCCTCACATCTTGCTTACCTACTCCTTGTCCTCATGTTTCATTCTTGTAGCTCTCCTGTTCAGAACATCCCCAAGAAGATACCCAAATGTTCCAAACAGGTAAGGACGTCCCAAAAGAAGCTCAGGTAGTCACCATCTAACCCTTGCCAGAACTAGGCTTGAAGATGGACTTTTGGGAGGTCAGGGTCTTGCCAGAGCCCTCTCACTCTTGGCCCAGAACTGAGATACCTTGGGGCCACCCTTGGGACTCCATTCATTATCTTTCCTGCCTCCTAGTGAGGCATCAGAGATTCTGATCTTGTCCCACCACCACTACCCTTCCTCCTTTGCTGTTATTTGGCTCATCAAATCTGGCTCTGGGATCTCACTTGTAGGAGTCCCAGCTCTCACTGGGTGGCCAGCGCTGTGCAGGAGAGCCAGATGAGGAACTGGTTGGTGCCTTCCCCGTTTTCATCCGGAATGCCATACTGGGCCAGAAACAGCACAAGAGGACCAGAGCAGAGTCCTGTCGCAGCAAAGATGTGGTGAGTATAGCTTCCCACAGTGGCAAGTGCCACCCCTCTCAGAGGTGGAGCTGGGTAGCCATCCCTCTAGCCCATCAGCCTAGCCCACTCATCTCTTCCTTCTGCCCTAGGTAAGGACAGGCTTCGATGGGCTTGGAGGCCGGACAAAATTCATCCAGCCTGTATCCTTTTTCTGTGGTACTTGAGGCTGAGCTGAGCTGTGGAGCCCATACCATTGCCTCACCTGTACCCCTAGACCTCAGCCTGCCAGTGCCAGCAGCCTCAGATGTGCAGAGCCAGGCCTTGCTCAGTGTAGCAGGGCTGCCTACCCCTACTTGGCCCAGCTGTAAGCCTTTCCTTCCCTACATTCCAGTCCCTTCTCCAAGCCTCTTCCTTGACATCTCCTCCAGACTGACACAGCCATGATCCGCCCACTGCCCATTAAGCCCAAGGCCAAGGCTAAGCAGAGAGTAGGAGTGAAGACACTACATTCTCCCTCTCAAGCCAAGCTGGACACCTTCCTGTGGTAGCGAGAACAGTGAGTCTGAGCAGTGACCAGACACAAACCAAGGACTGGCCAGGCAGGGCATTTTTAGGGGATAGCTAGTCCTCCAGGACCAGTCATAGGAGCAAGGGCAAACAAGCAGGTGAGGGTGAGAGTGATGCCCAGAGACTGCTTTTCCTGTCCTCACCCTGTCCCCACCTCTGCCATACCAGACCTACTTTTGGTGGCTGATATGGCCATCCCATCATTCCTAACAGTAGGGCCTGCTCCTGGTTCCAGGCTCCTGTTTATAGTCATGATCAGGTGTGGCTGGGCTCCTGGTTCGGAGACCAGGGTCACTTGTTAACTATCTCTCTGGACCAAAGTGCTTGAGGCTTCTCAAGCAGCCTCAGCTTTAGTGTCTGCCTGCCTCTGACTTGCAGCTAGGTATGGCAGGGCCAAGCAGGTTGGGAACTGGGGGATGGTGGTGCAGAAGGGATTGGGGGAAAATTTTCATGTAAAATAAAAAAAAATAGAATTTCTTCTTCTTGGTTCTGAGAGTGTAAATTTGTACCAACACCTTGGAAAACTGTTTGGCATGACTCTTTTGAGACAGAATCTCACTCTGTTGCCCGGGCTAGAGTACCATGGCGTCAGCCTAGCTCACAGCAACTTCAAAACTGCCTGGGCGTCAAGCAATCCTCCTGTCTCAGCCTCCCGAGTAGCTGGGACTACAGGCATGTGCCACCATGCCTAGCTAATTATATATATATATATTTTTTTTTTTCTTTTTTTTTGAGACAGAGTGTTGTTTGTTGCCCAGGCTAGAGCGAGTGCCATGGCATCAGCCTAGCTCACAGCAACCTCAAACTCTTAGGCTCAAGCGATCCTCCTGCCTCAGCCTCCCGAGTAGCTGGGACTACAGGCATGTGCCACCATGCCCGTAATTTTTCTAGTATATATCTTAGTTGGCAATTAATTCTTTCTATTTATAGTAGAGACGGGGTCTCACTCTTGCTCAGGCTGGTTTCGAACTCCTGACCTTGAGCAATCCTCCCGCCTCGGCCTCCCAGAGAGCTAGGATTACAGGCGTGAGCCACCGCACCCGGCCCATATATATATTTTTAGTTGGCCAATTAATTTCTTTCTATTTTTAGTAGAGATGGGGTCTCGCTCTTGCTCAGGCTGGTATCGAACTCTTGACCTTGAGTGATCCTCCCACCTCAGTCTCCCAGAGTGCTAGGTTTACACGCATGAGCCACCTCGCCTGGCCTAGCATGACTTTTTTTTTCCTTCCCTCCCTGCCTGGCATGACTTTTTAAAAGACGAAAGATTTATACAATCTAAAGAGAAACCAGAGTATGTGGCATGACTTTTTTTTTTTTGAGACAGAGTGTCACTCTGTTGCCTGGGCTAGAGTGCCATGGTGTCAGCCTAGCTCACAGTAGGCTCAAATTCCTGGGCTCAAGCAATCCTGCTGCCTCAGCCTCCCGAGTAGCTGGGTCTACAGGTGTGTGCCACCATGCCCGGCTAATTTATTTTTTTCTATGTATTTTTAGTTGGCCAATTAATTTGTTTGTATTTTTAGTAGAGATGGGGTCTCGCCTTTGCTCAGGCTGTTTTTGAACTCCTCACCTTGAGTGATCCACTCACCTCGGCCTCCCAGAGCATTAGGACTACAGGCGTGAGCCACTGCACCTGGCCTGTGGCATGACTTTTTAAAGCAGGAACATCAACTAGCTACAGACCCAGTAGATCCATCTTTAGGCGTGTGCCCTGTGCACAGGTCATCATAGGGCACAGGGAGCCTCTAGCAAGAATGAGATCACTGCAACTTTTTCCACAGTCTCTATCCTGAAAGTGAATGGGTAAACCAACATCTATTGATAGAACTCACAGCAATCATAACAAATAACCAGTGACCACTATCTTCCCTTTCTCCCCACCTCTAAATGCTACCAGCCAAATTGCTAGTCTTTGGGTCTTAGCTGCAGCATCACTTTCTCCCAGAGTACTTCCCTTCTTGACCTCTGGCCTGTGTGAACCCCCTCTAACTTCTCACACCCTCTATTTAATGAGAGTTCATGTTTCCCCAGGGCCCAGCATGGGCCTGGTAGAGGAAGTGAATGAATGCTTCAGGCTGAGAGTGTCCAGCTGCTCTTCAGCCAATCTAGAGGAGTATGGAGCTTCATGGAAAGGAGGTGATGCTCTTGGTTATGGGTGTTGGACCCTGTGGTGCTGACTTGAGCCAGGGAGATTTAGTGAGAAGTTCAACATCAGATTAAGAGTGTAGGGACTGGCTGCTAGCACCCCCTTTACCAGCTGAGTAGTCTTAGCTTAATTACCTCACCTCTGTGTGCTTAGCTTCTTTGTATAGTGGGGACGAAAATACCAATTCCCTTCCAGTTGTGGGGAATCTAATGAATCAACATACAGGTTAAGAACTTATGACAGCTAAGTGAAATAAGACACAAAACCTACTATTGTATTGATTCCACTTACGTGAGGTCTCTAGAATGAGCAAGTTCATAGAGACACAAATAGAATAGAGGTTACCAGGAGCTAAAGGGGGGAGATGAGTTATTGCCTTATGGACACAGAGTTTCTGTCTAGGGTGATGAAAAAGTTTTGGAAATAGATATGGGTGATGGTTACCAAAAAAAGAACCTATAACAGACCTAAATATGTAGAAAGACATCCTGTGTTCATGGATTGGAGGACTTAAAGTTATTCCCAATTTAAAAACTTACTACAAAGCTGCACTTATCAAAACAGTGTGGAGTGAAGTCATGCACAATGGTGTAGTTGGAAGCTCTAGAGCAGGCGTCCTCAAACTACGGCCTGCGGGCCACATGCAGCCCGCCAAGGACATTTATCCCGCCCGCCGGGTGTTTTTGCCACGGCTGTCCTGCTTAGTAGCCAACTCGTCCTGGGCCCACAGTGCGCATGTGTGGAATGTGCGCCATACTCTCCAACGGTCTGAGGGACAGTGAACTAGCCCCTTGTTTGAAAAGTTTGAGGACGCCTGCTCTAGAGGTTGGTTACTAGATCAAAGCACCCATTGAGCTGGAAAGAGCAGCGATTGTAATTGACTGTTTCACAACTCTGGAACCTGGTCATTTAACATCAAGGAGGTTGCTACGTGAAGAGAGAGGCTGTTATTCCTTGGTAAGAGAATGATGTGAGTCAAGCAGCCACCATTCTCATTCCTCAGCTCCACCGTGGTTGTGGGGATAGCAGCTCCAGTTCCAAAAGCAGCCAACTGGTGCCAGGGCAGACAGTGGGAGTCCTGCCCTTCAAAACTTTGGGGTTGTGCACTTTGGTGGGTCTGGAGGTACCCTGATATGCTTGCCTTGGTTTCAGCCTTCTTGGATGTAGTTCCTGCACTGCCCTCCCCAACCCACTCCTACAGTCCCCATCTCCTACCTTGGCATCTTTCTGAAGATTTAAAGGGTCCATGCATTGTTTTGTTTTTTTTTTAAGGCAGAAAGTCTTTGTCAGGTCACTCACTAGCTGACTGCAGAGATAACAGAAATTTCTGGGACAACACACAAGGAACACATACTTTGCAAAAAATAGTTTGGAAAAATAACAAATAGGTGGCTCTAGTCCTCAACAAGCAAAATTTAGCAATCCCTAAGGAATGGGAGAATAAGATTTCCAGAGTTACCACAATAATATGCTCAGAATATTCAGTTGTCAACAAAAAATTATAAAGCATATGGAGAAACAGGCAAGTATGGCCCATTCACAGGAAAAAAGGAATTTGAGGCTGGGCATAATGGCTCATGCCTGTAATCCCAGCACTCTAGGAGGCACAGGTGGGAGGATCGCCTGAGGTCAGGAGTTTCAGATCAGCCTGAGAAAAACCAAGACCCTATCTCTACAAAATATAGAAAAATTGGCCAGGTGTAGTGGCACACACCTGTAGTCCCAGCTGCTTGGGAGGCTGAGGCAGGAGGATCGCTTGAGCCTAGGAGTTTGAGGTTGCTGTGAGCTATGATGATGCTACTGCCCTTTAGCCTGGGCGACAGAGCAAGACTTTGTCTAAAACAAAAGACAGTATGGTATTGGCAAAAGTAGACAAACAGACCAATGGAACAGAATACAGAATAGAGTCCAAAAATAGACCCACACAAACGTAGTCCATATCGATAAAAAAAACAATCTAGACATATTTTAGGCCCTCCACAAAAATTAACTCAAATGGATCATAGACCTAAATGCAAAATACAAAACTGTAAAACTCTTATAAGATAACAGGAGAAATAATATAGGTGACCTTGGATTTGGTGATAAATTTTAGGCACAACACCAAAGGCACAATCCATGAAAGAAAACATTGACAAGCTGGACTTCATTAAAATTAGAAACTTCTGGGCAGGGCGTGGTGGTTCACGCCTGTAATCCTAGCACTCTGGGAGGCTGAGGCAGGTGGATCGTTTGAGCTTAGGAGTTTGAGACCAGCCTGAGCAAGAGCGAGTCCTTGTCTCTACTAAAAATAGAAAGAAATTAATTGGCCAACTAAAAATATATAGAAAAAATTAGCCGGGCATGGTGGCATATGCCTGTAGCCCCAGCTACTTGGGAGTCTGAGACAGAAGGATCGCTTGAGCCCAGGAGTCACTTTGAAGGTAAGGTGATGGGCTATGTTTTCTGGAGGTTGCCTTGTCACATCATGTTTATATCTCCTTGCTTTCCCATTTCTGATGAGCTGCAGTGAGTAGGACAAATATGGTGCAAACCTCATTGTTCCTGTCCTTTTTGTTGCAACATTAGGACTCAGAAGCAGCATTGTGAAAATCCAGTCCTGCTACATGCAGTGCAGGTCTTGTGCAACTCACTTTACCCTCAGTCAATGGGCTGCCTGCTGTCCGTGGAGAGTGTTTTGTCCTCAGTCTGAGGAAGCAGTGGAGCCATTGAGGGTTGAGGGGATAACCTGACTGGAAAACGTCCTGACTGTAGTGATGCCCCTATGGAGCATAAGTGTTTTCTCTCCTATCTTTCTCTAACTAAAACTTAATTTTCGGGCGGGTATATACATATATAATGAGTGAGATGTGCACCATCTAGGGGATGGTCATGATGGAGACTCAGACTTTTTTTGGGGGGGGGAAATGGGCATTTATTGAAACCTTAAAATCTGTACCCCCATAATATGCCAAAATAAAAACAAAACAAACAAAAAAAAAAACTTAATTTTCTAGGACTGTGTTCTGTGACAACCATGCTGTGTCAGACTTAGAGAACTGAGGGTAGACCAAACCCTGCCATCTGCCATGTGGTCATGGGCAGGGGTTTCACCGGGTCTCTGGAGCCAGAGGAGGGCTCCTACCATGGGGACAGGATGTGTTGTCCCCACAGTGAAGCACCCCCCCAGGAGAGGGACGCCTGAATGGGTGGCAGCCAACACCTCTGGACGAAGGACACCTGGTTCCACAGGTCGTTGGAATAGAGATTTGGGGCACGGCCTAACTAAGCAAGCTCTGAGACAAACCTGCTGTATACAGACACCTGGTCCAACTGGTAATCTACTCTAGGTTTATT